ATTGCTACACTACATTACATATTCCTGTATACACCTACATCTGAAACACCCCTGACTTCTGACTGCTATAATTATATATTTTTGCTTGCATTGTTTAAATCTGTTTCTTTACTAAATGATGTTATATAATTTGGGCTGTTGTTACGTCCTTGTGAGCCACAGGGCATAACAAATGGGGGCTCATCCACGTCATAATGAAATTTCTCTTTTGAAATAGGTAGCTCATTTAAAATAATTGTTTTGGATTTTGTTTCTATATATATATATTATCAACATATACTTGGGTTTACTTTTATTTTAACTAACTAACTTTAAACCCTAATGAAATGTTGTTAATTATGTGTTAAACTCAATAAAAATAAACATTCCAAATATAATATGTAAAATATAATACATTTGATGGCAACATGTTTAATGACTTTTATTTTATTCATCTGTTTTGATGTGATGTGTGAATTGAAATTAATTAAAACACTTTAGTAAGTTGAAATGATCAGAATTTGCTTTCTTTTTTTTTTGGTAGCAGTAGAGTTTTTCTGTTTTTAGCATGCGAGTTGTTTTGTACAACCAGAAAAGTTCACGTTTCCTTCATTCAATCCTGATCCAAGCTGTCTCTATAGTAACAGTAGGAAAAGAGGAGATTGGCTGACTTGGGTCTATACAGCTCCCGAGAGCTCTGACAGAGTGTGTACAGAGCTACAGGGTGATTGTTTAGATTTATATATAAAGTATTTAAAGTGTGTGCATGCCAAAGAACAGAGAGCAAAGAAATTAAAATATGACTTATGTAAAATCAGACAGAAATGTAAACATTTACAATATCCCAAAAAATGGTGTCTCACACATAATAACAGACAGAGAGAAAAAGAGAACGAATGAGTGAAAGAATTAAAGAAAGAGGCTAAAAGAGGGTCAGTGTAGTTGCAGGCGTTGTGTTCTGTTTGGTTATTTTTGAGTCTCTCGCTCTCTCCTGTGTTCTCTCAGGCTGAAGTGATGTGATAGATTGCATGAGATGCTGTGCAGGATCTTTTAAGAAAATAGAGCTTCATGCATGGGCTGTAGAGGAGAAAAGTGTTTGTGTGAATGGCTGTGAGAGTCATTTATATTTTACTTGCTCTGACTGCATCTATTCGAGTGATATCATCCAGTGATAATACCATTCACACATTTAAAGTCAAATTTTTGGCGTATTTTGGCGTTTTATGCAAGAATGTACAAATATTTCAGTCAATAGGTCATTTTAACTATTTTTTTTTACATCGTTTCACCTATTTTAAATGCTTATATGTAGTTTTTTGTAGATTTTTTTTTTAAAACAGACGTGTTTTTAAATCACAGCAGAGATAAAATAACAGTCACCAATAATCTTTTCACCACATCAGCTTCATCACCGGTGGTCAGTAATGAACTTTGTACTTCTCTCAAGGCACTCTGTGAAATCTGCTTGTAACAGAATGGCAGGTTTAATAACCCATATCATTCTGTTTCACTGCTCCCAACATCTAAACACATGCAATTATGTGAAACACTTGTGAAGTGCGGTGTTCCTTTCTGAGCACAGTCGGGAACGGTGTTGAATGATTTCAAAATATGGCAATTTGCAGAGCTCGTGATGTGAAAATACTTGATAAATTAAACCTGACGTGTGGCTAGAGGAGCATTGTCAAGTGTGTTGTCTGTCTGTAATGTCAAAGAGAGAATTTGTATGGCTTTCTCCTCAAATCACTGAGGCCCGTGGTGACATGCAGTCAGACAGTTTTATGCACATTAGCCCAGCAGACACATCCACCATGTGTAAATTAGGCTGCTTAGTAGGGCTTAGCACACATGCTTTTAAGGCTGCAAGACACACACACACACACACACACACACACACACACACACACACACACACACACACACACACACACACTTTCATGGACAACCCTGACTCTGTTGCCACTAATTAAGATTTCAGTTTTAGATTTGACTGTAATAGAAGAGCAGTGTGACTCAAACGCTGCTTATGTATGTGTGTGTTCAGTGTGACAAATAGAGCTGTATCTACCAAAAAACATCTGTTTAAACAGATGCAAAAGTTTAAACATTTTTGAAGCAATGACAAGGAAGAATTCACAAAGAACAAGAGCCGGATAATTGGATTGATGGTTGGATTAATGAAAGAGATGAAGAGGTGGGTGAAATAGAAGAACAAGGAGGGATGTGAAAGTTCCCACAAGAGGAGAGAATATTGTGTGTAAATTATTCACAGCTTATTAAAATTCATGTGGCACATTTGCCTGAAACGGCAGAAAAAAAAGATGTTGAATATTTGATTGTGTGTATAAATACAGCCCTAAATGGAATTTTGTGATGATGAGGGCTGTTTTTAGATTACACGCCTGCCCGTTGTTTACTGATTGTTGAGTTTCATTTCAGCAGTATGGTGATGAGAAGGTGGTTTGATGCCCGATTGCTTAAAAATGAGCTGAGTTGAATTAAATTGTTGTTAAAGGACCATGACCCCAACCAAACAAAGCTCTTGGGTAAAAATATCTTCCTTTCAAACATATTTGTTAGCGTGTTAGCAGAACACCCATGTCTCTGTACAATTCTTCTACTACTTGTTTGAATTATAATTGGCAACACAACGTTGCGTCTCTCTGAACATTATAACAGGTAAAAACTCATAAAAAACTATATCATGTATATTAATAAAGTTGCATCTCGTTCGTTGTTTCTCATGAATTAATGAACAGATGTGCTGAAAACTCAATGACATCACTTTGTACTGGCTGGTACAGACAGCCAATCTCCACACTAGAATTTATACAAAGATCGCAAGGCTGTGACACAGCTTAAAAATTTCTTTAAAGGAAAGAAACAAATTTGCTCTAAACAACAAAAACTACCAATTTTCTCTTTTTAGTGAAATACTGTATATGTGTTCTAATAGTGTTTTTAGCGATGTGGGACATACAGTGCATCCGGAAAGTATTCATAGCGCTTCACTTTTTTCAAATTTTTTTATGTCACAGCCTTGTTCCCAAATGGATTAAGTTCATTTATTTCCTCAAAATTCTACACACAATACCCCATAATGACAATGTGAAAATTTATATGAAAAAAGCTGAAAGATTACTCTGTCTGAGCTGCAGCGTTCTTCTGTGGAGCGAGGAGACCCTTACAGAAAGAACCATCTGTGCAGCAATCTACCAATCAGGCCTGTATGGTAGAGTGACCTGACGGAAGCCACTCCTTTGTTTTGGAATTTGCCAAAAGGAAGGACTCTCAGACCATAAGAAGCAAAATCCTCTGGTCTGATGAGGCTAAATTTGAACTCTTTGGAGTAAATGCCAGGTGTTAAATTTGGAGAAAAACAGGCAAGGCTCATCACCAGGCTAATACCATCCCTACAGTGAAGCATGGTGGTGGCAGCATCAGTAACTGGAAGACTAGTCAGGATAGAGGGAAAGATGATTGCAGCAATAGACAGAGACAACCTGAATACCTGTGTTCTTGACCTCAGACTGGGGTGAAGGTTCATCTTCCAGCAGAACAATGACCCAAAGCACACCGCCAAAATATCAATGGAGTGGCTTCACAACATCTTGGTGAATGTCCTTGAGTGGCCCAGCCAGAGCCCAGACCTAAATCCTATTGAACCTCTCTGGAGAGATCTGAAAATGCCTGTACACCGTCGCTTCCCCTCCAACCTGATAGAGGTTGAGAGGTACTGCAAAGAGGAATGGGCAAAACTTCCCAAAGACATGTGTGCCAAGCTTGTGGCATCATATTCAAAAAGACTTGAGGCTGTAATTGCTGCCAAAGGTGCATCAACAAAGTATTAAGCAAAGGCTGTGAATACTTATGCACGTGTGATTTTTGAGATAGCAATTTCAAAAAATCTGGTTTTACTATGGGGTATGGTGTGTAGAATTTTGAGGAAATAAATGAATTAAATCCATTTTGGAATAAGGCTGTAACATAAATGTGGAAAAAGTAAAGCGCTCTGAATACTTTCTGGATGCACTATATATATATATATATATATATATATATATATATATATATATATATATATATATATATATATATATATAATTACTGTCAACAGCTCAAAAAATGTTTTGGTGTTTCATGACTCTTTAATCTGACCACAGTTCTTGGGAAATTCATTATAATTTATGTCTATTACATTTACTATTTAGTGGCAGCAAAGAGCTTGAAAAAAATGTATAGTTTTGCTTGAATACAAAGCTAAAGTGCTGTCTATTGTTCTAGTATTGACCGAGTAAGCTGTGTGTGTGTCTGGCAGAATTCAAACTCTGTCTCTAGCTCATGTTCAGAATGATGAATGGCTCTCGTTGGAACTCAAGGTGAAGGCCCCCTAAAGAACCTGCGGGGAGAAAAAAACACTGGGCTTGACTGAAGGTTTACAGAGCTCCTGCATTCTTAGAGTCAATGTTACCTTTAAAGATATAGATTTTAGATAAAGGTTCAGGTTTAGGTTAAGGCTCAGTGTAAAAATTACATTTATATTAAGTATAAAAATGTGGATTTTGATTACATATCTCTTTTAGCCAGGGCTGACTGCATCACCTTTACTGTTGCTGCAGAATTCAGCATCATGCAGAAAATAGCACTCTTCAAATGCTCAGCTACAGGCTAGGTGTCAATAAGTTTAGATAGCATCTTCCACTCATCATGTGCCATCCTCGTCCTCCAGCACATGTGGTGTTATATGGAGTGTTTGTGCTCTGTTATTGAATTCCAAGAGCGTTTTCATCGTGTCAGTTCAGCCAAGGAAGTATGGGAACACCATTTCAATTTGTGTCACTACATCAAATCTCGAAGAGGCATTTTCACATTCTGATGTCAGTGAGAAAGTGAGAGAGACAACTCTATTGTAGTGTGAGATTGGTTGCAGTTATGATTTTTATGGTCCTGATGTAACAATGTGACACACTCCAAAGAGTTCTGGAGGGTCTTTTTTTAAACAGATGAACAGAACAACAACATGGGTCAAATCTTTTTATTTAAAGGCCCACCTCTTACCTCAGCGGTAACCCATTCCTTTGTGTTTGCAATACCTACTGTATAGTCAATGCCTTTTTACCACACAGACGAATTCAGGCTTCACCTGAAACAGTGCTACTCATGGATTCTTGTTAAAGAGAATCAGTACGCATGGTTTATTTCACAGAGATAATAATCAACCAACATAAAAGTTTATTCTTGGCCCATCCACTCTGCCTGGCTGTACATAATAGTCCATCTGCTAATCTCCCAATTGTGGATCATCATTTGACCTTCATGGAGAACTTCTCTAAGGCCAGATTTTTACTTCAGAATGAGCTTAAAGGATGTGTGCAAAAACTTTAAGCTAGTAGTGTTTGCTCCAGATGGACCTTCACTTTTTATGCTTGACCCATCCTCTTTTTACAGCTGCTCGTACACATCCTTTCAAAGCAAGATGGTGCACATTGCATTTAATTTGCAGCAAGGAGATTCAGATGCCTATAGCTTATTTATCTCTGCTCTGCGTGGTGAAATGATGTAAGCTATAGTTTTCACTGGCCATGATTGTTCCAGTCACGCCCTGCTGGAGCAGTCGCACATGCCCTGGCACAGACACTGGCAGAAGCCGTAAACCAGACAGACTGTGAGACTGGATGGCACCAGGCTCACGCACACAATCCCCAAGGTCACTCTCTGGATCACCAGCAAGTATATGCCAAGTGGCAGCGAACCGAAGTAGAAAAAACCCAGCAGCCACACCAAGACCCGTGGCACATGATTGCAGAACTTGGACAGTGCGTCTTGGTCCACCACACCACTATTGGATGCTACAGAGACTGAGTCCAGGTCACCGTAGTAATCAGAGCTGGCGTTTTGGCTGGGTGATCGCTGCTGGTCTCGTTGCACCTCCATGATTGTGATGACCAGGCAGTTGGAGGAGTCGTGGGATGGGCTGTCATTGGAGGACAGGCTCTTAGGCGTCAACACTACTTCTTTACTGTGGTCCGAGCTCCAGGACTTGTCCCGCACAGCCAGGCGGGACATGATGTTTGAGTCATCTGGCAGCCCAGCCACTTCAAACTCACTGACCTGCGTCTCGTGACGACAGAAAGGGCAGCTGATGGAACTGGAACCATCCCCCATGTCCAGAATCTTGTTGAGGCATCTGGCACACACTCGGTGTAGGCAGTCCAAAATTTTGGGCTTGCGGCTGTGTGTATTGAAGCGCTGGTAGCAGATTTTGCACTCCAACTCATCATTGGTGGTGCAGTTGAGGCTGGTGTTATTAGTATTGCTGGCATTAGTGGAGCTCTCCTCTGGTCCAGCCTGAGCACAGCTCATCGTGGCCTCATGCTCTGGGAAACAAGAACAGAATGTTAGCTACAACATGGCATAGTTACAGCGATAGTGATTCTTTGTACACTTTTTTTCTGATTTCAAGACAGAAGGATTCAGTTACAGTAACTGTAGATTACACAAAGACCCAATCCCAATGTACCCTTAGCCCTACCCCTTGTTTTACGCATTCCTGTGAAGGGGTAGGGGTGTCCCAATTCTCTTTAGCTTGAAGGCATAGAGCTAAGGGTAGGGCTGGGTACTGCTTGAAACTCATATTTTTCAGAACCACACCTGAATCCAAGGGTTACATTCGGAAGTAAGGAGATGCACAGATTAGTATTTTTTTGTCATTATTATGGATTTTTACAACAAACAGCCATATGTTTTAATACATTCATAACTGTGTTCGTGTTTTACGGTCATGCTTTAAAAAAAAACATTAAAAAATTGCAAAATTTCGCAATCTATATTCCATAAAAATAATTGTGGTCCCACAGCATACTTTCACATCTGTCAATCGATGTCTCGAATACCCTGTCAGAAAAGTCTAGTGGCTGGAAATGAGCTTTTTACAGTGTCTGCTATAATGTTAATGTTGTTTTCGTGTGTTTACATTAATGAATATGGCCACGGTGTAAATAGACAGTACAGGTACGATCTTAATGCCACATCATGTTGTATCGTTATGATAACGTGATATTGTTGCCTTCAGTGAATTCTTGAAGATAAATACCAAAACAAATAAAACGCAACTGGAATTACTACAGTGTGCCATCGTCAATCTCATATGAAGCAAGAGATCGCGATGACATATGATGGTGTGTGCAGGTGTTGTAGTGTTGTCCCATTTCTTGGAGGTAAAATCTGAAGCCCTTCCCTTTCACACTCAGTTTCAAGGGCCAAGGGGATGGGTGAAAAAATAGAATTAGGATTGGGCCTAAATGTCATCGCAAAACATTTATTGATACACTTTTGACAGTCTTGATTTTTCATCTGAGCATCAAGTTTTATTCAACAAGTTTTTATTATTATTATTATTATTATTATTAATTTGCTGCTTTTTCACTATTCTTCCAAACTCTGAAGAACTGTCAGGTATAGTTCCAGTTTCCATGTGAGTGTAGAATGGCACAGCATGATTACAATCTGCTCTTGGCCTGCAATTCTAGACAACTGTGCTGGACTGGTAATGACATTGTCACACTGTTACCTGGCTGCCAGTTTCTCCAGAGCTAGCTAGGTGGAGACACGCTAATAACTATTTAAATATTGTTATTCAGTGTAATGAATATTATTAAAAGAACTCACAAAAACAGAAATATTGGGCCATCGTCCGTATCGGTTTACATTACACTTATGTTACTAAGGGAAGACTGACACATTTGTATTACATCTCAAAGAGTTTTGTTATCAGCACACTGGAATTTCCATGCTGACTGAACCAGATCAACATGGAAGAGTGATGTTTCGCAAACAGAACTATTAGTAAACAGAACAGCTATTGTCATTCAATAATGTTTATTTTACTCCAAATAAACATCTAATAAGTACGTTTTCAACTTCCATTTATTTCCCTTTGAAATTATACTAGATGATGTTTTATAATTTTACATGCTGAACTCATGCTTACATACTACTGATAAAACAGCTTCACCCACAGTATACTAATTTATAGTGTTTCCACCTTTAATAACACTTTACAGAATTTTTACTTTCAACAATTCACTTTAGGTCTTGATTAGTTATTATATTAATAAAAAATGTATTACAGAATAATTTTATATCACCGTTCATTGCAAAATGAAATATGATTAAAATGTATGGCATTGACGACACTAAATAAATATTTAGGCTGTTACTGTATGTGATGTCACAAATGAAGTGTTTCCTACAGTGTTATGCAATCACACATTAGTGCATCGTTAGTGCAACTGCAGTAAACTAACACCCATGCTATTAAGTCTTCACAGGAAGTCTCCTACTTTGCCACATGGGTGTTTTCAATGTCTTATTCAGTCTGCAAGTCTCCAAAGACCTAATTAGGCTGCTTTGTTAATCGCTGTTTGTGAAATTAATTTAAATAAATGTGGGATTGAGGTGGCGATTTTGCTTCATTGTCTTGGGAAGCCAACTGTTCTTGTGTCCCTATTGTCCCCGAACTGTTTTGCTGAAAGAAGAGATGGCAGTGGTTAGAGGAATGAAATAGCGGCCCTTTGGGCAAAGAGCATGCTCCTCCAGCATACAAACCTCTCTATTATTAATGACAACAATGCCTGTGCATAATTGTATTTCTGAGAGGAATTTGTTTTGCTTTGCTGGATAGAGAAAATATAGCCAGCAGTGGCTGTCAATAGAAGCCCAATAAAGAAACCGGCTGTTTAGGGTTCAGACTGCATTAGCAGAGCCTTTTCAGACCACCAATTAAGAGCCGGCGTTTCCAGTCACTGTTTTATTATGGTACAGTATCATCAGATGCCTGTCAGTGTGGTTTAAAAGAAGAGCCTTGACAAGAATTGAACTATTGTGAATATTTGCTCGAAATGAGTGTGAGAATGGCAGTGATTGATGTGGTAATGGTAATGTACTGCGGTATTTGCAAATCCAATGTGTACTGGAGCATGAAAGCTTTTCTATTTCCTCTCTATTCTTCTTTCTCTCCTTTCTTTTCTCCTGGCAGTAATGACATATGGCGTTATAACATCCTTTCAGGGGGACAGTTGTGCATTGAGTTCTCTGTCTTTGGTTTGAAAGGTCATCTTATTTTACATTTCAAATCTAATATAAGAAACTCATTTGTAGCTCAAATGGACAAAACCAATTTTGTCATTGTAATTGTAGCTCACAAAAAGCATCGAAATGAGTACCTAATGAATGGCATGGGTTATAAATTATGAATGTTACATGGGCGATTTTATACCACCCAGGAGAACAATATGTTGATGTGCATTTGGCAAAGCAGTCTTCCTGGAAAAAATTTGTAGACAGATGAGTTGGCACATAATTAATTTACAGGCTAGTAATCAGAAGTTTAATCTGAGCATTTCTCGAGCGTTTTTTATTCTAAAATAGTAAAAAAAAAAATATGTTGGAGAAAACACTTTTAGTTTTGAAATACTATTTTTCAACAGATTCTGTTGTTATGACATACCTGAATAATATACATGATTCTTCTTTTACCTACATGGAAAACCTACGAATCATTTCTTTACTGCTGTTTAGGTGAACACTTTATGTGGCCTTTTAATTATGGCTGAAACTGCTGTGGCTGCCAGCAGGTTTCCTGTGCTACCATAAACTAGCAGTCTAGTTAACAGAACATAAAGCAGTCCAGACTGTAGAGTTCACAAAGAAAAAAAATAACATAGTCTTTTGTTATTGCTGAGTCTCCCTGGATATGAAAGCTTGTCTTCACACAGTGAAACAGACACAGGCCAATGCACTGCAGTTTTGTCAGCACACATGGAGTTCGTTTATTGCTGTTAGTTTGATCTGGTAGAGTCAGATATGCCCACAGTAACCTACCCTTAAAAACAGAACACTTATGCTCACTTAAAAATATTTCATTATATAATAATTAGATCATTATTAAATTCATTTTCTGTGTGAATATTTATGAATTCATTCCTTCAAAGATAACATTTTCAGCGGTGTCAGTGTCTGTCAGATATCAAAATATGCTAATTTTGGGCTCAAGACACTTTTGACACTTGTTGACGAAGTTGATGCTGTTTTATTTTATGGGATATAATATAATAAAAAAAGGAACATGGAAAGTAACAAAGATATCTTACCAACAGTATTTTGAACATTCATTCATTTTCCTTCGGCTTTGTCCCCTGTTTATCAGGGGTTGCCACAGTGGAATGAACCGCCAACTTATCCAGCATATGTTTTACGCAGAGGATACCCTTCCAGCCACAACCCAGTACTGGGAACACCCATACACTCTCACATTCACACTCATACACTACAGCCAATTTAGTTTATCTAATTTACATATACCACAAGTCTTTGAACTGTGAGGGAACCGGAGCACTCGGAGGAAACCCACATAAACACGGGAAGAACATACAAACTCTACAACTGGACCAGCTGGGACTAGAACCAGCAAGCTTCTGAGACTGTGAGACAACAGTGCTTACCCATGAGCTACTGTCCAGTCCCAAATTTCGAACAATAGCATCAAAATTATTGTAACTTAAATTTTGTAACTTCAAAATTATTAAAGCAAAAAATGTAGTTCTTAGAACATTCATTCATTCATTCATTCATATTCCTTCGGCTTAGTCCCTTTATTCATCAGGGGTCGCAACAGCGTAATGAACCACCAACTTATCCAGCATATGTTTTAAACAGCTAGCGCATGTCTCTGGACTGTAGGGGAAACCGGAGCACCCGGAGGAAACCCATGCAAACATGGGGAGAACATGCAAACTCCACGCAGAAATTCCAACTGACTCAGCCAGGACTCAAACCAGTGACCTTCTTGCTGTGAGGCGACAGTGCTAACCAATGATCCACCATGCCGCCCTCATAGTTTATCCATATAATAAAAACCTATTGTTCCTAATCTGTATTTCTTGTTGACTTGGAGGCCATTAGGAGTTTTTCTTTAATGTTCCAGACAAAAAAAATATTAATGCTTAGGAACTACACAAGAAATTTTTATTTTTGGCTGACTTTTTTTTTTTTTACTTAAAGTTATGCTTTTTAAAAAAATATATATTTTTTTGACACACACGCTGCACTGCATTGCTGAAATGAATCAGAGTTTTTTTTGGAAACTTGTCAGCATGAGTCTTTTACGTCACACACAGAAACACGCACAGTTCATTAAGCAGCTTTCAAGTGCAATCACTTAGACTTCTTAAATTTAGTCACCTCATTCATCTTGCTCTCCAGAGACCTGAGAATCCAAAGTCAATTCAATTATTTAGACCATCTTTTATAAGTAAGACACTAGGGGTGAGAGTGTGGGTGAGGGGAAGAGGGACTGAGAGTGCTTATCTGTTTTAAC